GAGATGCCTGAGCCCAGGTGAGGTCGTGGAGCAGGGGATGCACGACCAGGTACTGTTAATAATGGGGCATGGGATGCACGACGAGGTCGTGAGGCATCTGGAGTCCGTGGGACGACCCACGCTGGAGCAAGTGGGAACAACTCTCTAAGAATCCAAGACTCTGGTGAAGCCCGCACTGGAGTAATCCGACGGGGAAGGATTGCGTTCTGCGAGTAGGACTCAGCCTGAGAGAAGCTTGTGGATTTTTCTCGTGAGTAGGGGATCCACTGGAGCAAGGGAAAAATGGTGTAAGGACTCCTCCTCCTTTAAGAAAGGAGCGGCAGTAACAGCATGGATGAACTGACCTGCACTCCCCCATTCCCTGTCCCCCTGCGCCGCTGGGGAGGTAGAGCCTGAACAAAAGGAAAAAAAGGGTGGGGAGGTGTTGTTTTTAAGATCTGGCCTTGTTTACTCTTTATCCTCTCAAGTAACCGGTTTTGTTTCCATTTGTCCTTGTTTAAGTAACTGTTAATACATTGTTTTTGTTTTAAGAAAAAAAACCCTGAGTCATGTTTTTCCCGGGACCATGGTTGGTGGGTGCTCCCTCTCGGTTCTCATCTCGACCCTCACCCCTTTTATTATAAAACCACGACACCAATACAACACTTTTCACAGAAAAACGACAGAATACTTTTGTAACTTTTTAGAGACAAGTACAAAAGTCCTTAAAGATCAATGTGTTGCATAGGTTGCTATCTATCTCATCCATTTAGACTCCCAAAAAGCAAAATCCTCATAGTTTAAGTATCAGAGAGACCTGAAATATAACTATATAGTGGAATGTGATTGTTCATGAGTGACTGGCATCATTACAGACATTACTCTCTTGTCTCTGCTTAGAGCTTGTCGTGCCACACAACAGTTTGAAATTCTGCATTCATTCTGAATATTTAAAGTGATTCCGTTCTACTGTATGAGAAAAAAAAATTTAGGAATCTAAGCCATATCCAACTGTCCTTGAAGACAAGCCCACAAAACAATTAATTATTTCTATATGTACCTATGGTATAGAAAACTTATTTCTAGTAATAACTCAAAACAGTTAGGATTTGATAGCATGACTATAGAGAAAGTAAAGCTCTAAATAAGTTTTTTCCAGATAATTTTATAGTGATGATCATCGTGATAACTATTATATTAATTATCTCTTTCCTGCAGGGTTGTTTTGTTGGATTTGACCTGGCTCATGCTGTTGGGAATGTAGAGCTTCATTTGCATGACTGGGGAGTAGATTTTGCCTGCTGGTGCTCCTACAAGGTAAAAGGGATTCATTGTTTGAGTCTGTTTTCCATAATGTCACTTATATGATGGGTCAGGTGAATAAGAACTGCACCTGAACTGTCGATCAAGACTTGACTAAATTTTTAAACCAGCCACAATGAGGCGATGGACACTGACTTTAGTGGTGGCTTTGTTACGAGAGGTTCCAAAAGATAATAGTGGCAATGACCTGCAAGTTCTTGTGGATTTGAGATGGGTGCCAGTGGTGGTTAAACATCTGCTATGAGGCACACTCTGCTCTGTGGTCACAGTGTCAGAGACTCTTCTCTTATTTCCCACACACTGTAGCTATAGGATTTTCTTAAGTGGTCCCTAAACAAAGGAATATTCTTGCCTAAACTTAAATAATTTCAGGTCAAAGAACAAGGTATGTTTAGCTCCTTTGACTTCTCTTGAGATTAAGAATTGATAGATATAGTCAGATGAAATGTTTGATGACTTTGCTATACGTGTTATGACATGGGATTATTTCAGCCACACTTCAGTTTTCTAGTCTGTTGTCTGTTAGACTTCAAATATCATATGTAAGCCAAGAAAGATATTTTTAGAACTAATTTGAAAAAATATGTTTTTACCTACATCAGCACTTTGAGACAAATGCTATGATCTCCAGTTAGAAACCACTAGAAATGTTAAAATTGGTCTGTTTTATAGAGCAGGATGAGGGAAGGAAAACTATATTTTACAGATAATAAGCACAAAATGTACATGTTGATTTTTTTTTTTTCTTTGCAGTATTTAAATTCTGGAGCAGGAGGCCTTGCTGGTGCCTACATTCATGAGAAGCATTCCCAGAGTGTTAAACCAGCGTAAGTATAGTTCTATATCCAAATAAATGGTGCTGTGAAGTTTAAATAGGAAAATATCTTCCTTTTGAGTTGAGATCTGAAAGTAAGAAAGTGCATAGATTCCTGGTCATAGGCTGTGGACATGTGTATCTATGCATATATGTATAGATGCAGAACAAATTCCCTGTTTCAAAAAAACCTCATTGGGCTAATATTTGTTACTGACTTATAGTATCAATGAAAAGGGTAGCATAAGTTCAGATAATTTGGTTGCTGCCTCAGATGGATTATTTTGTGTTAATTTTAGTAAACTTTGAAATTGTTAATGTACATGCTTGCATTTTAAAAACGTTTCCTCCTTGGAGTCTGCTATCTGTTCTAAACTAAATATAATCATAAAAGAGAATGCTTATAATATTAAAAACAAGTAACTTAAATCAGGCCTATGAGACTGTTTAATGTAAAGAGAATATTTAACATCTTCCTTTAAAAATTGATTTTTAAAAAATCATTGAAGTCTTTGGTTGGTGAACAAAATCAAAGACAATTTCAATTCTGTGTCTAATAGCTCTTTAATACTGGCATGTTTTCATTAAAATTATATCCACTGGTAAAGCTAGGAAGCATTACACGGAGATCTGTGTTCTCAAAGGCTGCATAATCCATGAAAAGCTGTGCTATCAACTGAGGTTAGCTGCATTAAAAAAAATACCTGTTATTTAAAATGTTATACGATTGTACTCTATGTATGTATATCAAGAACAGTAGGTTTAATACTTTTAATGCACCAAGAAATGTAAACATTTCTTTTTGGCTGTAACGCTCGGAGAAATTGCTGGCACTTACTTTTAGCTCGAAGAAGGAAAACTAAATCAAGTTTCAGAGAGAAATAATATTATAATGAGCAGTTTTGCTGCACTATGTGCTCGTTTCAGACTGTCTAGACTCCCTGGAGATAACAAAATAACACTGATAAGTTCTTCTCAGTCACCCATAACAGAAAACTCATTAGGATGACATATGACCAGTTGTGAGCTGATTCGATCCTCGCATGTGAACACTGGCAAAATATGCCAAATATCTGGATATTTCTTCTGGAAGTTTTGTGGTGTTTTTTTTTTTTTTTTCCTGCTTCCCCGTTAGCCAGGAGCAGGCATTGCTCTCCTGGCCAAACCTCTGGACTCTGATTGCAGGGAGCTGGGAAGATGCTGAGCAGTGAGAAAATGTGGGCCAGCTAGAAATCACAGAATAGCAATAGGAGGAATGAATAAAATCTCAAGGACTTTGAGTCTTTTTCACTCCTTGATAAAATTTCAAAACTTCTGTGGGGGTCCTAGCCTTGTATTGTAGGTAAGAGCTTAAATTAGTTTTTCCTGAACCAGCTTCTTCATACATAATCATTAACTTGTGCACTGAATCTGGATACTGAATGTCTTAAATACAATTGCCTGTATGAAATAAGCTTTTTTCAGCCTGAGGCCCAATTAAGGATATAATTTCAAACTTCCTGCATAGACCTTTTGCAGTATTTAATCATCATTACTTTGTATTTCCTGAGATTTGATAATCACTCATCAAATTGTTTGTGGTTAATATGCCCTGGTTGCATTACCTTTCTTTCTTTTCTGCATCAAGCAGCCATTTCAGGTCTCCAAATAAGGCAGTGAGACAAAGGAGAATTTGTCTATGTCAAAGTATTCAATTTTATAGCTGATTTAAATGCAGAGCAATTTGCTGTATGTTGTACAATCAAATAGAGTGGAATTTAACTGCCCTGGAAGTTGCAGGTTTTATGTTGTATCTAAAAAAGTCTTCGGCTGTCATCTGAATCAAGGATGACACCCAGTGGCCAGACAACTTCATTCAAAACCAGAAGCACCAAACACTTCTGTTTCTTTGCATTTCAGCCCACACATAAGCGGGTAATTAAATTCCAATCCAGCTGATATCCTTTTGTCATTTAAACTGTCTGAAATATTGTTTTTAACTCATGCGAGTCACTCTACCCCTCTATATAGATTTCTTTAATTTGTCTCATCCTTCATATTTTCTGCAAGCTATTGACTAGGCAGTTATTTTTATATCGAAATAATGTATTGTATTTTAATATAAAAATGTACGTTCTGACCATAATTCAGAGAGGCAGACCCAGAACATTTGCCAAGTGCCTTTGCCTGTTACTGACTGAGGCTGGGGCAGAAAGGACTTGGGCACTTACTGAAAATTAAATATCTCAATCCAAAATTTTAATTTAAAACCCACAAGCCCAGCTACTGCCTATCATCGAAGGCATTTAGGTATTTTAACTTCCCTTAATTCCACGAGTATGCTTTTGTCCATGCCCAGTTTTGCTGATGAGAGCAGTGTATGCAAATAGGCGCCCTCATTGTAGCTATGCAGTTTCAGAAACTGAGTTGCCCTCCAGCTGCTCCCCACAGGTGCTGCTCCATCCAAAGCCTACCTCCTGGACATCAAAACACTTATTTGCTGCTGCTTTCTTTGAAAATACAACTTGAGAAAGGGTTGGTAATTTGTTTAACAGCCTTACTGCAAGCAACCGGGGCCACGCTGAAACTGCTTTCTGCTTTGGCTCTGCAGATCGAGGTTGTGGCAGCCCAACTGCAAACCTACAGAGCCCAAAATTGGTGTCATTCCTTAATAATACATCCCAGCAGACAAAAGGCAACGCCAGTCCCACTCCTCTTCTTTATGGATATGCAAGCTTCCCACAAGAGTTTTAAAAGTTGGTAAATGGCTGACTTGGGAAAGGGTTTATGCCCAAGAGCAAGGTGTGATCCTTAGGTCTGATGGCTGGCAGGTGGGGGCTACAGACTCACATGTCCCCTTGCTGTTTTGTGTCACTGCAAACACCGTCCTGCACTCCCTGCCTTGGCTAGGCACAGCTCTCTAATTCACTGCAAGGGCCATGGGTCTGAACGGTACATGTTGTAACCATCCTAATTAACACCTGTACCTGAGTATGTTGGGTAGTCCTTTGCTAGTCCCCTATCTTTCTTCCTAGAGCAGTAAAACTGAAGCAGTTTGACATATATGGGTCCAATCTATCCCTATTCTCTCATGATCTCACCTCCTTTGAAGTCTCTTTTAATACTCGAATAGCTTTTTTAATATCTGCTCTATATATCACAATGCAATATATTCTTGGCTAATTGGGCCAGAGTGATTTCTCTACAGGAAGGTTTCAAATAAAAAAAAGACCTGAACAGAGCAGAGCTATGAAATGCTACTGAAACTCTTCTGGTAGTGGAGGCTGATCCTGTGCCACCAAGTTTCCATATAAATGCAGTTCTGTTGCTGAGAGGAGGTTTCCAAGACACAGAGCACTAAGGTGGCCTACTAATGCTGAAACTTTTCTTGACTAATTTTTGGTTTTTGGGCTCCAGAAAAATTTCTTTCTTTTTTCCTTCCTCTGTTCCTCAATTTCTCCCTTTATAAAATGAAGGATAACTGAAATCTACCAAGCCAGCTGGCTGTACAGAAATGTGAATGTTTGTGAGCACCTGGGATAGAAGGTAGAGAAGTCAGGTGTTCACAGCAGAGTATCTGCAGCTGCAAAGGTTCAGCGAGTTCAGTTCTGCTGACAGCCGGCATAAGGCATGGGAGAGGACAAACTCGCAGAGTCCTGAGATAGGAGAAGAAAAAAAGATGTAGTCAAATCTCTGTAAGAAAAAGTAAGACCCAATTTTAAAAGATGAAAGGGAAATAAATGTATGTAAAGCAGCCAGGAGAATAATAGCTAAGCCTTGGCAGAGGATTAAATGAAAATGGTACACAGTCTAGTGTTTAAAATGAAAGGATTTATCAAGACTTAACTTTAGCACAGACTAGCAGCAGGTAGAGTTCAAAAATAAAAAGTTTGTGTGATGTGAAGAAATGCTGTATGTGCAGGAAACAGCTGATGTCCAAAGAGCGTGCTGGCCTTTACTGTAGGTTTAAAAAAAATGTATCAAAGAACAAGAAACGAAAAGGTAAGTATTTTGTACTAGTTTTGAGAAACACGAGGTATCTTCAGAACATTTTTTTATAGACAGAGGTGAGACATCAACCATTTCTTTTGGATCACTTTCCTTTTTGGCTTCTTGATTCCAATGAAAATGCCAGAGCGCAAACAGCTTCTCGCTACTTCTTTATAGACACCTGCACAGCTTTTTGGTATGTGAACTTTTACCCTGCCATGAGATAAACAAAAATACACTATTCCAGGTCGATACCTCTGCCCCTTCCCATTTTTGCCAGATGCTTTGGGTTCCCACCCTGTTCCAGTGCAGATCATCTCTGCCCAGTGACTTTGTTTTGCAGGAGGTTGCTCCATCCCTCCCAGGGCTGGTAGCTCCAGCTGAGTTTTTCTTCAGTTATTTTCTTGATCTATGAGGAGATACCACATTACTCCTTTTTGAATTAGAGCCACGTAATCCCAAAACTAAATAGCTGAAGCTTCTGTGAAACTGCTGAAAATAATGCAGCTTTGGAGCAGTGTGAGTTGGGAGCAAAGGACAGTCATAAAAACATTGGGAAGGTTGTTTTATATCTGCTGTGTTGGAAAGAACTAAAGCTGCTCTTGTTTAAAATGCTTCTAGGAATAATAGGCTAAGCTGGTCCAATTCTCACTTATGCTTGGAGTCCATCAGCTGTGAGTATCTCAGCACTACTGAAAGTTTTAGCAGAACAAAGCATCCTGGGCCAGCTAAGGAGAGGATGTGGAGAAACAATGTAGAGACTTCCAGGGAAATGAACACAGCAAGGTGGAAAGTCAGTGGTCACAGATGGAAATGTACACACTGCTGTTTGCAGAAGGGTTGACCACTGATCCCAGTGGACTCAAATTGCGGACTAATGTATGGAGAAACTATTCTTGTGTCCCTTGAGTGCATAAAGTGTCCCGCACTAAGGTAGAAACGCACTTTTTCTTTGCTAAGGAGATGAGAGCAATTTAGCTCCTTGAGCTCATTTAGAAACCAAAAGTTAAAACCTCCCTTGGGAAGAGACTGTTTAGGAATAAA